CTGACGGTCCACGGAAACCTGTTGACAAACCTTCAATGCTTGCTTGTCGGTTACTCACTACGTTTTTGTCTATCCAGCTTTTTTTAACTGTGTGACCTGCATTTACCCATGTCTCGTCCAAATATTAGATTTTTCTGCTTTGTCGCCTATATTCAATCATTTCGCGTAGGTATTTTCGATGCCAGGCGACTATTTCAGGTCTCTCTATCAATACTGACTTCCGATTACGCGTTTCGTAATGAAAATTAATTTCGTGCAGGGATTTCCTCATTACCTCGACGCTCATTTGGGGTATAATTTCATTTTCCTTGATCGCTGCATGTACAGCCTTGAGGGTTGGTATCTCATTCCTAAAGAAGAATGAATGTACGGTTCGCCTTAACGCCATTTTGCTATCGTCATCCAATTTAACGGTCTTTCGTCTCTTCAAATTAAACTTTGGATCAGTAGTAGCTCCTGTTTTCTTCTTTTCATGCACCACCCTGCGAATGGTCAACTCTGGAACGCCTGTTATACTTTCACAACGCGCGAATGCATCTCCCTGCGACATAGTTCTGTTCAGATAATTGAACACGTTGAGCACGATTTCTTTCGTGTCCCTCTTCAGTTCTTTACGAAGCCGTCTACTTGTTCCCTGGCTTTTAGTACTTCCACTCGTGCCATTTGTACTCTCCATGGTTAAGTATAACCAAAACAGTAACCACAGAAACCACAACAATAACAATCACACAACAATTCTTATAAAAACACACCATATGCGATCGCTCAACGAAACACGTTCCAATGCGTTGCCGACGCCTATGAGTCTGCCGGTCGAGGCGTGTCTTTGATTTCATCGGTTCTACCGGCGGAGAACAATCAGCTATTATTTCCATCTCTGTCTGTGCTGTTGACCACCGCAAAGCCACAGAAACGACATATGTCGTACGCTATACGGCTGTAGTGGAAGGAAGCCGGGATCGAGCTCTGATCACGTGTTGATCACGCGTATGAGTCATTACAGTTTTAAATAGTTGTAGTATAGCGTACCGTACCTTCGGTTTTTTAGACGTATACGATTGTTTGCTTCTTGTCCAGCTGTCTCCTTGACTTACCAGTAGTAGACGAGCACACCTATATCGCACTGACGAGGGCTAATGACCCCGAAACAGTACTGTCTGCGGTTGGTTATGGTTTAAGGGGGCAAGAAGGAAAAATCTCATTTTTTTCCATAGTTGGATGATTTATTAACGGTTGATTTCTTTAAATAGGAAAGTACAATTGTTCGCGATAGATAACTATCACTCTTAGCCAAATATCTTAATGTCACTAGTAATCTCACGCGGGGCATTATTGCTTGCCGAAAGTTGGTATCACATTTTTTATCATAGGTAAGATTTTTTCAAGTATGTTGTGAAAATCGTCTTTACTCATCCGTGTTAAATTTCGAAATAAAGCATCATGGTCAGCCACCAAGTTGTTGTACAAACTGTACTGAATTTCTTGACCATCTGCGCGTATGTTTCTTCTCCAATATTCTGGCGTTTTTCTTTTTCTTTTACGATCCGAAGAAATTACTGAATAAGCAGCGGCCGCGACTGTCTGTAATGACATGGCGTACTAAACTGGAGCTGCTTGAATTGAATCGTGAAGATGCATGCTACACTCATGTACGACAAAGCACATGCTACATAGGGGAACAAAATCCGCATGCGGCATTAATAGAATTTTGGAAAACACTGTAGAACGTCAACAAGATGCAACACTAGGAAACAAGTAGGATGTCACATGTTCATTGTTGCCTCTGTGGAATTGCGCTTTTAGCCTTCATGGATCAACATCGCATCAGCCGTTTACCTTGACCACCACGATCGCCTGACCTATTTCCAATTGAACACGTCTGGGACATGACAGGTAGCAGGCTCTTGAATTTACAACACCTTCAACACATTATTGAACCAGCTTCTGCAGTTAGTTGACGAATGAAGCAGAACATTTATTCATTTTACTATTAAGGGACACTGAACATACACGTATATGCCAAAAATTATTGGAATCGGATAAACATACTTAGGTATTTACCTTTTTTTTTTTTCACTCAGTATAAGTTCGAGTTCGGGATGATTCTCCACAAGGTGTCACTCATTTTCGCAAGCCAATTTCGACCATGAGATATTGTGTTTTTAGATGTTATGTACATTATGAAAAACCATGCCATTCATTTCCGTCGGTGTTTCAGACTGTCTGTTTGTCTGACTGTCCTCTAATCCTTGGCCCATCTAAAGCTTGAGGAGCATCGTTTGCGTGAAATTTTAACACAATATTGCTACTATACCAAGGGCAAAAAAGATCTGTAGTTTTTGAAAATCGGTTCACCGGCAGCGGAGAAATAAACAGAAAATGAAGCCAATGATTGCAATCAGATCGTAATCTGCTCGATTACCCTTAAGGATTCCTGCTTTATAATTTTACTGTACTTGAATTTATTTTATTCTTATCCCAATGTGCAATAGAGATAACTTCTTGTTCATTTCTTTGTGTATTATGGGAGCTCTAATGAGCAACTCTACAGGGTTATTTTAGGTAAAATCAGTAAAGTAAAAACAGTAATCGTATTTGCCATTACAATTTGTAAAAACGTTGTACCATACCTTACCATGATTATAAGGTAGAAAGTAAATTTTGCCCACATTGTAATCACTTTTTATTTTCTCTTTTCTATGATTTTTTCCAGTACGTGAAATATTGTATTCTCTAACTGAAAACCTTTCCTGTGCTATACAGGGTGGCCCATCCATGTGTGGACGGAATATTACTCATAAACAAATACACTTTGGGAAATCTATTTATACCATATCATACGTGACATTTGATGACACATTTATAAAATACTGGCTATTATGCAGGGTGTCCCAATTTCGACCTACATATCAAAGTTGTGATTTTTCAAGTGGAACGCCTCAAATTTTATTGCATATTTGGATAAACCAATTCAAAAGGAGAAAATTGATATAACATACTATGGGGTTTTGGTAATTAGCTACTGAGATATAAGGTGTTTTGTCTAGAAAAACCCCCACATCGGCAACCTCTCAATCCGTCATTTTGAAATTTGGAGTAAAAAGAAAACTTGCGCACCTCAGCTTTCAACTTGTTAGTTACTTTTTCGAATTTTAATTTTTGCTCATACAGGGTGGTCAAAAACGCGAATTGTACTTTTTATAAAAAATCTCAGATGCAAGTTTTGATCCAATTTTTCATAAGCTTTTTTTGTATAAGGTTTGATTCAGACAAAATCACTAGATTTTGAGTTATTAAGCTTTTAATAGAACAACACACCAAAATTAAGGAAAAAAATCACATCATCCATGGAAACAAAAGACAAACAGTGGGCTAGTTCCATATTGCCACTAAGAGTACAGATTTGACGTACAAACTAATAACAATCAGAACAATATGAATCAGCTTCAAGCGTAATAGAGAAAAACAACTATAACAACAACATAAACAGACAACTATCACTACTCAACACCTAATCTACAAAAACTGCTCAAAAATATCTCCACCATGATGGATACACAACCGTACTCTTTGAATTTTTTTTTTTTTTTATATCGAAACAGCCGCGCATGCAGAAGCCTAAATGCCGGAACACCGCGGCTGCTATGATGATCCCAAAGAAACCTTGTTAATACGATTTTTGAACTGCCTAAGGTTAGTAGAACTGGGAAAAGCTTCCTCCCGTAGTTTGTTCCACAATCTAGACACCCTCGGGACAAAGGAGCGGTCGTATCGGCTAGTTCTGGATGTACGAAGTTTGACACGGTTAGGATGGGACGCCGAAGTCAGGCGGGTCTGTCTGGCAGGCACATCGCGCGGCGGCATCATGGAAGAGAGCTCTGAGGAGCAAAGCCCGTTGGTGTAGCGATAGAAAAGAGCCAGATCGCCGACGGCCCGCCGGTGCGAAAGAGTCCCGAGACTGTCTGTTAGAGAAGAGTCATCGATCAGTCGGACCGCCCTCCTCTGGACAGCATCGAGCATGGACAATGTAGTCGGGGCGGCAGCACCCCAAATGTGTGAGCAATACTCGAGGCTAGGCTTTATCTGGGCCTTGTATAGAGTGAGAAGGTCATGCGGAGAAAAGTACTTCTTAGCCCTAAACAAATAGCCTTGCTTTTTCCCAGCAGCTGCAGCTATTGAAGAGATGTGTTCGTGCCAGATCAGGTCCTCGGTGATCTGGACTCCGACCAGCCGAAAAGAATGGCTCTTTGGTAGGACTCGACCGTCCATCGAAACTGAGCGCTAGGACGCTTTTTGTTCGTCAAAGTACAGTACTGTGTTTTGGAAGCATTGAACTGTACAAGATTGTTGCGTCCCCAAGCAGTGATAGCCTCCAGGTCTCTTGTCAGAGAAGAAGTCGTCGCTAGTCTTCTTTTTTCCAGCTCAGCGGCAGAGATCGGCTTGTCACTCTGAATTCCTGCATGTAGAGTGCTATCATCAGCGAAGCTGTGGATTGGGTTGATCGTGCAGGAAAGGAGGTCGTTGATATGTAAGAGAAACAGTGTTGGAGCCAAGACCGATCCCTGGGGAAAACCCGCGTTGACGTTGTGGGATGAAGAGGAGAATCCGTCAATTACGACGGATATCTTGCGGCCAGAGATAAAGTCAGCCACCCATCTGCAAAGCTTTTCTGGGAGGCCGTAGGATGGAAGTTTGCTCAAGAGGGCAGCGTGCCACAGCTGATCGAACGCTTTCGTGATGTCAAGAGCTTCACCATGAGACTGGATGAGTTTACTCCACAGTTGCGTGACGTAAGCTAGGAATGAATGAATGACCGTTCCACATCCCTCAGCACGTCAGCATGTCAGAAAAGCATCCTTAATCCTTTACTTCATATTTTCCGGGGTAGATGGTGGATATCTATAAACCTCTTACTTAACGTAGCCACACAGGAAGTGTCATATCTGGTGATCTAGGAGGCCAAGATATAGGTCCATCATGACCGATCCAACGATTGTTACTCCAGGTGTCCAGATAGTTACGCACACGATTATGATAATGCGCAGCTGCGCCGTCATGTTGGAAGTACATATGCATCCACAATACTACTTAATGTTAAAAATTTTTACTGCAGTTGCTAAAAAATGAAGTAGCTCTGCTGAAATTTGTCACTTACATTGTTATTAGGTGCATATAACTGAATATTATCACTCCAAAATTCAATCATGGCTTCGTTTTGTTCATGTCAACTGAATATAAAATTTCATGCACATTAAATCATTTTTGCTAGGTCTTCTGTGTCACTGAATAAACAATTACCAGCTGCAGATTCTACCAGAGTTTATTGCTTCAACTCATCGTTTATTATTCATTCATTAAAAAGCTGTAATTTACCTTCTAACAGATTTATTGATGATTTTATAAAAGAAAATATTTCAGCATTCAGATATGCCAGCTATGTCCCATTTCCTAGGAGGTCCCAAGACACCAGTCCTGTTGTCTCCCCTGAGAAGTGATAGCAAATGATTCCCTTCTTTGGTAATCTTCTGTATCCTGTTATCATTGCTGATCTTTGCGTTTGGTCGGTACTCTAATACACACTTCTCTTGTACTTCAGAGTCCACAGAGCCAGGTCTCAAATAGCGAAGGTTCCTTAGTGCTTGAATGGGCTCCATGCCGTGGAAATACATTAGATAGACAGCAACCATAACACCCGTCCGGCCAAGGCCCATACGGCAATGAACTCCAACTGGCTAAAAAAAAATGGCGGCAATTAGGTTGACTCTGACTCAACGTTAGCATTGATTCGTATAGGATTCGGCACAAGTTAGCTCTTCTGAGAAAAAAGTTAGCTACGAATATGTACAAAAAATTGAAGTCACACAAACAGACTCGTACAATTAAAATTTACAAATCTGGCATGGTGTTGTGTTAGAAAATATGCTAGCCCCACATCTGACATCGATGACAGCCTGTGATGACAATCAGTGTGAAATGCAAATATTAAAGCCTCTTTTAAGTGTCCCGCAAGGAAACCTTATGGCTGCATTGTTTCCAAGGGTAGATCCACCTTGTCTCCAATATAGATATTTCACTGTCTAGGCTGCATAACTGGTTTCCGAACAGTAATTTGTATAAAAGTCTAAAGAAGACACAAAGTATTAGATTTCACGCAAGAGAAAAAATTGCAACAAACTAATTTTCAAATTGAATAATATTAATATCGATAATGTGTATTACGTATATATAAAAAGCCATGGTATGTATCAAAGGGATTCCTATATGGAGTACAAGTAGCACTGCGACTATGTAATAACGAAGCTTAATTCATTATAGGATCTATTATTCATTTCCGGAGATATTCTACCATTAACTTAATTGATTAGTTTGTATTATGCACATCGTTGACCCTGTCACGAGATGTAGCATATAATTTTGGATACTCTGTACGAATTCAAAGGACGTGTTCTTGAAACAAAAAAATCTGATGTATAGCAGGTGTTAGTGCTAGAAAGTCATGTAGTACTACAACTATTTAAAACTGTAATGACTCATACGCGTGATCAACACGTGATCAGAGCTCGATCCCGGCTTCCTTCCAGTACAGCCGTATAGCGTACGACATATGTCGTTTCTGTGGCTTTGCGGTAGTCAACAGCACAGACAGAGATGGAAATAATGGCTGATTGATCTCCGCCGGTAGAACCAATGAAATCAAAGACGCGCCTCGACCGGCAGACTCATAGGCGTCGGCAACGCATTGGAACGTGTTTCGTTGAGCGATCGCATATTGTGTGTTTTTATAAGAATTGTTGTGTGATTGTTATTGTTGTGGTTTCTGTGGTTACTTTTTTGGTTATACTTAACCATGGAGAGTACAAATGGCACGAGTGGAAGTTCTGAAAGCCAGGGAACAAGTAGACGGCTTCGTAAAGCACTGAAGAGGGACGCGAAAGAAATCGTGCTCAACGTGTTCAATTATCTGAACAGAACTATGTCGCAGGGAGATGCACTCGCGCGTTGTGAAAGTATGACAGGCGTTCCAGAGTGGACCATTCGCAGGGTGGTGCATGAAAAGAAGAAAACTGGAGCTACTACTGATCCAAAGTTTAATTTGAAGGGACGAAAGGCCGTTAAATTGGATGACGATAGCAAAATGGCGTTAAGGCGAACCGTACATTCATTCTTCTTTAGGAATGAGATACCAACCCTCAAGGCTGTACATGCAGCGATCAAGGAAAATGAAATTATACCCCAAATGAGCGTCGAGGTAATGAGGAAATCCCTGCACGAAATTAATTTTCGCTACGAAACGCGTAATCGGAAGTTAGTATTGATAGAGAGACCTGAAATAGTCACCTGGCGTCGAAAATGCCAACGCGAAATGATTAAATATAGGCGACAAAGCAGAAAAATCTATTATTTGGACGAGACATGAGTAAATGCAGGTCACACAGTTAAAAAAACCTGGATAGACAAAAACGTAGTGAGTAACCGACAAGCAAGCATTGAAGGTTTGTCAACAGGTCTTCGTGGACCGTCAGGGAAAGGTCAAAGATTGATCGTAACTCATATTGGTAGCGATAGTGGCTTTTTAGAAGAGTGTGACTTGATTTTCGTCTCTAAGAAAGGAGGTGATTACCATGACGAAATGAATGCCAGCTGCTTCGAGAGCTGGTTTCAAGGGGTGCTTCAGCGAGTTGAGCCCAACTCTGTGATCGTCATGGATAATGCTTCCTACCATAGTCGTCGAGCCGAACGTGTACCGATTATGGGATCTCGAAAAAGTGACATGCAGCAATGGTTGCGCGAAACAGGAATCCCGTTTGACGATTCATGTGTGAAAGCGGAATTGTATGAAAAAATTAAACAGCACAAACCTGCGAACATTAGTTACGTGTCTGAGGAGATGGCCCGTCAATGTGGTGTCACTGTGCTGCGGTTACCGCCCTACCTCTGTGAACTGAACCCAATAGAGCTCATCTGGGCTCAAGTGAAGGGTTATATTGCGCGCCATAATACAACCTTCAAATTACCAGACGTTAAGGTTTTACTTGAGACTTCTATACAGCTAGTAACGCCCGAAGCTTGGCAGAATGCTATCCGTCATGTTGTGAAGGAAGAAACAAAAATATGGCAGCTTGACCACCACATCGACACCATCATAGAGCCAGTTATAGTCAATTTCAACGAGGAAAGCGATAGCGACAGTTTATTACTGTCAGATGTAAGTGGAAGCGACGATGAATAAAGGTAATTCCCAAATTTTTGACTTACAATATGTTTCAAACCACTCTTTATTAAGCATGTGACAAATCTAATTCACCCATGTTAAACATTCATACCCCGCCTATGAACAGCCGACTACTGGTAGTTACGTGATGTTCACGTGAACATCGATGAGTCATTACAGTTTTAGATAGTTATAGATAACAGTTACTGGTTTATGCATATTGGAAACTTGCTTATACATATTTAAAAATAGAGAAAAGTTCCCAGCACATAGCCAAATCTATTCTAAAAGTATATCCAACTTTGTATTCGCAACCAGTCCAGTAATTATCCTAAATTCTTGCAAATAGTAAAATGATAAAATTATATATTTAAATATAAAACGAGACTGATAAGAGAAAAGCCGTTATACGCTCAGGCTATTTAAGCAGTAACTGATATCAGCTGTGTTTATTCTTAAAACAATAATTTGTTTATAGTATGTTTTTGCACAGTAAGCTCGTGTAACATTGTCAACATTACATTAAACAAGGTCATCATATCGTGAACTTTTTTCTAACAGAAAGTCGCCTTATATTCAGAGAACAAAGAATAGAAGAAAACAATCTACTGAAGCATCATGTCTAAGGCAGGTAAAGTCAAGTTTTATTCAGTATTTACCATAGTATATGTCGGAAAATGAAGCCAGTTATCGAAATATTTGTCATCTTTCTTAGCCCGTTTAGATCAAACTATAATAAACCATAAGCTGACAAATAAATCGGATGTGTCATATTGACAGATACATGTGCCCAGTCGATAGGCAATATAGCTATAATATTTGTTATAAGGTAGTCTTTCGCTACGTTTACGGATTTGAACAGGTTGATCGTAGGACTATGCACGAAAATTATGTACCGTTATTAACACTTAAGATCGTGCTCTCAACAGGGTGGGTCAAGCCTTCAAATAAGTGGGATTGGATCAAGATTTGGGTTCAGCTTTATAGATATAAATACTTTAACCCTATTTCAGAAATTTTTTGGGCAAGTCCATACCAAAGCAAATGTCACTTGTCAAATGCTGAATGTGAAATATCGTTGACCTATTCGGGCAACGATACTTAGGACCATACAAACCCTGAATAAATTGTAATCCTTTGCAATACGAGTATAAACGTAGTCTTTATGATGTGGAGCTTCTTCGAGTTTGAGACACCTTGTATCAGTTGCTGTTTTCCCATGTCTTAGGGGTCACTTGAAATATGTAAATCGCCATTTTGCTGTGGCTGCCATATTGGATTTAAAATGACGCCACTTTGCTTATTGTGTTCCTCTCATCAAACCCTTTCTTTTGATACCCATATTATAGATATCACTAGGGAAATTATGTAGCATACGCCGTATTTGATTCAAAATGGCGGCAGTTAATTCATTTGTCGCGCAAACCAAACTTGTGTAAAAAATTTCAGCTCAGTTGGTTAAGGTTAACTGATTCAAAATTTAGTTCCAAGATTTGTCCCACACATATATTCCGTTTAAAATTAAAATTCAAATATTTATATCATTATTTAAAAAACATACTAACATACAAACAGTTGAATAAAAGCCTGTAAAAATTATCGAGGACCTTTACAGCTATGCATATTTGGCGGTATTCGACAGTAAAGCAAGTGATCTGGTTACAATATATTAACAAAATGTGGAGTTTTTATGTTAGCACGTCACTTTCCTTATGGTATGCTATAAAATCGCATGCTCCCCAATAGTGAACTCACCAGTCCTCTTTTCTTACAAAACTGTATAGTACTTATAAACTTGAAAATATCTTCTATTGTTGGTGCATGACACTCAGGAATGGGTATGTAAGTCCGTTCAAACTCGGTGTCTGTCAAGTCTGGAATTTTTTCTGGGCTTAAGGTAATTATATGTCTGATACCTGAAATGAAATCAAACATAAAACCATAATAGCTTGTGCTCCCATTCAGAATAGAATAGACGCATTTTATATTTTTAAATAATTAGCGTAAATGATGCTATTTAACTTCGTCTAGAATAAAATAGAACCAACTCACTCGACGATGAACTGAAGCTTGAAAAAATAATTACGAATAAATCCTTGCATGATTTAAAACTTTACTAATTGAGGTTCGTAAAATAGGGCATCAAGCATATAAATCGTCATCTCTGCCAACTCCGGGAAAACTCCCTTTAGTTCTGTTTTCCAGAAAAATTACCTAGAGGTTCAATCGTACATGACGTTCTTCAGGGTGATTCCAAAACAACTTCTAGTACAATTTTCCATATAGTGCAATTGCAATAAAAAGGCGTAGATTTTGTGAGAGCCCTAATTGACAAAAAATGTATTTGGGGCTCTGGTGTAAAGCTGTTTGTCAACTGATTGCAATAGCTTTTGATACGTACTCAGATACTATATATACTAACAGTATATAATATTACCTCACGAAGTCAGGTAATCTCATTATGCTCGTATATATACAAAGTGTCCCAGATTCGCTTCTCTATACAGGGATCTCGGCTCCTGTTATACCTAAAGCAAAGGTTAAACGGGGAAAGTTTGCATTCGATAGCCGGCTTCAGATTTACGATTGGTCAGTTGGTTTCGAAAATATCGGCAAGAGACCGAAAATGTCGAATTTTATGTTTTGCCAGTAAATCCGAAACGGTTAATTTTACTGTCAAAATCTGACATTATTCGAACATTCTTTTAAGGCAAATAAGATAGCGTGTATGACATGTCTCAACCGCCTTTTGTTTTCCTGCAGCCTGCCTTAACTTTCATTTTTCTTATGGCCGCCATATTGGATTTTTTGATTTTTGGAAACAGCGTAAAACTTCCAGCCTAGTGATGCCCCACAAGTGTATGAAAGATTGATGTATCATCGGAAGATCATCACACGTGATGTTATGTATTAATTTTCTTCTAAGCGACATGATCTACGAGTCCCTTCCCACTTCAGTTGGCCCACTTCACGATTTGTACCAAAATATGCCTTTATAAACAACACAACAATTTATTTTCTCAAAAACATTTTAGATACACTCTAGTCGTAAAAAATACATATTTGAAATCACTTAGACCTATAACTAATAGAACATCTGAACAAATAAACAATGTGCGAATAAATGCGCGAAGTTAACAAAGCAACAATTAAAAGATTACCATTGGGTAACATCACCTTTGTTTTTTATTACGGCTTAAATTCTTTGGGGCACAATGTAAACCAAGTTTTGGCAAAAATTTGGTGTAAAACAATCCTATATTTCTTGAAGCTTTTGTCTCAGTTCCGTGATTGTACGAGCAGGATGTTGTCGTAGAACCTTTTTCATCTCGTGTCACAAAGTTTCAATAGGTGACAGATCTGGACTGCTAGAAACCCATTTCAAAAGTGGTACATTATTTTCATAGATTCATTTTATAGCCTTTTTTGAGGTATGGCACGCTGCACCATCTTGCTGAAACACAAAATCTTGGCCGGATGTCAAACATTCTTCCATCACTGGTAAAAGCGATTCTTCTAAAATTGCCAAATATTTGTTTGTATCCACATTTCCATCAATAAAATGAAGTTTTCCTACCCCTTTTGATGACATACTGCCCCAGACCATAATGGATGCTGGAAATTTCACTTTTCTCTTCAGTCAACATGGAATGCTTCATTTTCTTGCGAATCTCTATTGCGACCGTCACCAACCCAAACTTCGAATCGGGCCTCATCACTCCAGTGTATTGCACACCATTGTCGAGGTGTCCATTGTCTATGTTCTTTAACCCATCTAAGCCGATTTTTCTTTTGCAGTGGAGTTAATAGTGGCTTTTCTTTGGCCTATAAACAAGTTGTGCAACTTTAGGGTTTTTACTTCACTTTCTTTTATAAGAAAACCTATCTTGCAAGTGCTAAATCAAAGTTTGTGGGCCCCTCTATGAGTTGTCGACCTCGAAATTCTCCTTCCAACAGCGTCACTCCACAGAACACTTAATTGTAAATAATTGACAGGCCTGTATTTCACGATTATTCTTCATAATGCTCTTCGGTCGGCATTTGTGATATTACTTTTTTTCACATATCGTGGCTTAATATTAACTGAACCAGTTACGTTAAATCTTCTAACAATATTTCTCACACTGTACCGCGATAAGTCTTACAAAGTTACAATTTCTGAGTTTGATTTCCCAGAATTACAAAATTTAATTATCCGTAACCGAATTTTCTCACTAATAACCTTTCCTCTACCCATTTTGAAAACCTTAACTACCCAAAACTATTTTAAACGTATTACGACAGCTGTGATTAATAAAAACAATTGTCATGGCTTTTATTTTCACAGCCACCTATGCGTTATAGACTTATTTTGCATTAAATGAAAATAGGTGATATGCTGTAATTGCAACATGTGTTATTTTATGCTGCAAATTTGATTAGGGAGTGATAAAGTTGGTGTTTTCTACTATATATTATCAAAATATTCATTGTTAATATTTTAAACCTATAACACCCTGATACATTTTTATTATTTGTGTTTGATAAGAAAAAAAACTAAGATTTCAATAGTTGGGCCAACTGAAGTGGGAAGGGGCTCGTATTTGTAAGAAAATAAAATTAATAAGTAACGCATTTTTTCATCTAAGAAGGTCTCAGTTGGACGTTAAATAATTCAAAGTATTAAAATTGTGTTTAAAAGTTTCAACAAGATGGATGTCTCGCTCACAACACCATTCAAGTCAGGAACTTCTTAAGAGATCAGTTTGATGATAGAATAATTTTATTAAAATGGTTCAATATCTTGGCCTCCTACATCCTGAGACAAAGAATGTTGAGCACAGTTATAAACATTATCAGAAATACACTAGCTAAGGTTGTACGAAAAACAGTCACCAATTGTCAAAAATGTCTGGATGCAATTGCATCTGTAAATTAACACCCACTTACATGATTAGATTTTACATTACATTACAATTTTGTAAAATGTTTGTTTGTTCAAGTGCAAGATAAATTTACGACGATGTATCACACTTATAGTTGAGAATTTGCCCCAAAGCATTTGACCTGTTGAGAAGTCAATTTTAACGTAATATTCTATGGAATATAATGTTATTTTCTGAAAAATAAATCATTACCTCCTTAGACAAAAGACTAATACATACACACATGTGATGATATTTCGGTGGTACTCCAATCTTTTACGCACTTTTGAAACATCACTAGACTGGAAATTTTACACCTTTTTCACAAATCCAAAAATCCAATATGGGGGCCATAAGAGAAATCAAAGTTGAGGCGGGTTGCTGGAAAACAAAAGACGATTGAGACATGTCATACATGCTTTCTACTATACTATTCGTCATTATTCGTCAGTACGGTCCGGTGGATCTTGCTCTTAGTTAAAAGTGTCGTCGGTCTGCTGGTATGTCAGGTCTGGCTACCCAGATACTAAACATGTTTAAGGGGAAAAGGGAAGGAAGGAAAGAAATGAAGGAAGAAATAGATCCAATAAAAGAAGTAAATCATTAGAAATAGCTTAAGCATTATTGCTTTGACTACTCCAATTATTTTGTAGCTCCAAAAAATAATTTTGATCGGTTTTATTTACTGAAAATACTTAGGCTGGTCTGACATGCTTATTTTTCTTAAAAAAATGACCGAATAGTGTCACAGTTTGACAGCTGTCAAATTAACCGTTCTGGATTTACAGGCAAAAATAAATTCTGTCGTTTTCAGTTTTTCGCTAGTATTTTCAAAACCAATTCACCGATCGTAAATCTGAAGCTGGCTAACGGATGTACTAAGTTTCCTCTAAATTCTTTGCTGAAGGTATAACAGGAGACGAGTTCCCTGTATAGAGAAGCGGAGCTAGGACTCACTGTAAATATCGCGTGCTCCTCGTATATGCATATCGCGGCACCGCTTCGTCTGCTACCTGTTTTATCAGTCCCTCCGATCCACTACCAGGAACAACCCCGTGGCGCACCGCAGAAGCGGCAGATAAGTACGCGATCCGTCTGCTGAGAGACGTTCAGACGTCGAGGCAGGTAGGTGTACGTTCATCGAGCTGCCTGGGACGCGTTTATTGAGAATGTATCTCATTCGAGTTTTAAGTACAAATGTACGGGAAATAAAAATGTGAAATATAGGAGCGTAGAATTACTGAGAAAGTGTATCAGTATACTAACATCAAAAAATTCACACATACACATACACTTCGTCCTCGGCATAGTAGAAACCTTTTGTTAAAATTTCATCCAAATCCGCACCGGTATCACGTATCTTGAAAAGTGACATTATGCCGACTCTTTT